AGATTAATTCTAGTTCTTATGTAGATTCTCGAGTAGTTAGTACTAACCAATGCGTTGTTTTTGACCACCAGATAACTGTGTGCCTCTCGAACCAATATTGGTTTCGTATCTTTCTGGTAGGTTTTGAATAAAATCATCAATATTAGCATTTTTCGCTGCTTGTTGAATTTCTTCCATTGATACTTCTCTTGCTGTATCGCCATAAGCAATATTTTCTTTAATTGTTGCATCGAATAGAACTGGTTCTTGGCTAACAAAACCTATTTGACTTCTCCACCATTGAAGATTTAAAGATGGTAATTCGTTTTGATTAACTAACTAAAATGAATTAATTAAGTTTTACAACGTAAATTGAAAGAACTTTCCGAATAGCGCACATATCGATCACGACTAGGTTGTATTAATATTAAAAAAAGTATTAACTTTCAACTTACGATTCGCCCATCTGTTGGGTCGTAAAAGTGTTCAAGTAATTGAATAATGGTACTTTTGCCACAACCGGACGAGCCAACAAGAGCAGTTTGTTTATCTAAAATGGCCGAACATTTGAATTGTTTTCTTCGGAAGAAAAAGTAAATACTAGGTTCTATTGTTAGATTAAATTTGTTCAAAACTTGTACTTCTGGTCGATTTGGATAATGAAATTGCAAATCAATTAAATCAATTTGTCCATCAAATGTAGTCTATTAAACGGTGAAATATATGGATAAGAAGAGTAGAGTATGATTTGTTTACCAATTCATTTCCAACAGTCGACGAATTATCAATCGTTGGTACTCGTTGAAATAAAGACAAAATGTTTTTTGAGGATGCCTATATGATCAAATACCATGATGTCTCTGTTTTTGATATCTTTATAAAAAGAAAAGAACAACAACTCGAACATACAATCGCTTTTGAATAGTCTGGTGCCATTGATGCCGTTTGACCGACCTTTAAAAAATGAAGACAGAAAATTTTTATAAGTACATTTCTACGAATAACTTACAGACATTGCACCGAATAGGATACAGTTAAGAATACTAAATTTTAAATGCAATAAATTCAATACAGATTGAAAAAATATTTTGATACTCACAGCATAACATTTTCAAAACTAGAAAATAGAAATCTCATGTGATTGAATCTAAGCTGACGTGTGTGAACTTACGTCATTGCTCCTTGTTGAACTCTCCAAGCCCCGAAAGAAAACAAAGCTGCTATTCCGAAGAACATTATCTTAAAGCAGATTGATTGACTTTTTAAAAAAAATACTAAACAACATCAGTGAGAACCCTACTGCATCAGTAAAACCAAATAATAAACCAAACACATGTGCGCGTCTAACACTATTTCTATAAACGAGAAAGAAAACTGTATTGAAAAGAAACAGAAGGAAAGTTTTCTTCAGACATACTTGAAACAAACATCAAGTTTTTTGCAATATTCATCACCAAAATATTGTTCTTTTGTTAATTGTGCTACTGTTCGAATATTTGATATACTTTCGACTGCAATCTATTCGATTTAATGGAAATAAAGAGTATTTTTTTTGGTTTCACTATCATTATAACAAACCTTTCCAGCTTCTTCTAAAACTTTCTTATCCTAAAAATATAAGCAATACAACATCGTGATTTAAAATTTCTTCCAGCAAACTTTATCTGCAATGCCCGTTAATAAGTATGTTTGCAAAAATCCAGCAAGAATCATAAATGGTACAAATGCTAACATAATTAAAGTCAGTGACCATCCATAAATAAATGCTAAAACGATGCCGACTCCGAGATTTGATATATTTTGTAACATCGTTCCAATACGAACACCTGTAGCCTACAGGATCGAGTATGTTGAAAATACGATTCAAAAGCAAAATGTAGATAAAAATCTTACTCCTTGAACATCGGAAGCTTCAGTAGCTAGACGTGTACATAGAGCTCCAGTATTATTCTCTGCCTGATCGAAATAAGCAATGTCTTGTTGTAATAGAGTTCGAAAGATTTTTGCACGAAGTCGTTGTGTTAAAGATTCACCAGAAATTGCAAAGAAAAAACTCTAATGAAGAATTGAATTAAAGCAAAGTTGATTACTATTTACCTGTAGGAACATTGTAAATAGAGTAACCAAAGCGATACCGATAAAAAATAAAACATAAATAAAAACACCCTTTTCCTGTATGTTTGGATCACATTCTTGGAATACCTTTTAAAAATCGAACAAAAGAAATTTAGCTTGTTTACAAAGAATTTTAACTTACTGCAATCACTTTACTTAAAGTTACACCGAATGCTGGTTGAGCACCTATAATAGAACGAAAGATATTCAGACGAATAGAGTAAAAATTATGCTAACCTCCATTGCAAATACAAGCAAGGCAAGCCAGCAGAATATAAAACCATTCAGGACTATTCATTCGAAGTACTGTAAAAAATGGTGCACGACCAGAATACTAATGAAATAAAAAGAACAAAGATATAAGCATTTTAATTCTTTCAAATAAGTAACAGAAAATTTTATGTTAGTTTAGTTTCAAAAGTCATAATTTAAAGAAAAAACAATGCCACACATCGGCAATACATTGTAGAAACTAACCCTAGGATATAATAGAGAATCATTGGTTAAAGCTTAAATAATCAGAAGAATGATCTTCTAATTCAAGCAGTATAGTTTTTAAAAACAATGAGAACCACATAAACTGAAATCAATCGAGATCATAATATAAATTTATGGAAATAATCATTTTCTGAAAAGTAACCATAGTATTATGTTGTCTTCAGGTTTCCCCTATTTTATTGTATAGATATCGCTTGGATCTTAGTTTGGAGTTATTATTTGACAGACTCATCAAGAATCGTGAATGTTCTCTACTTTATCCTATCTAACATACTTCTACTTTTACCTATTTCTATGAGTTTAATATATCGTTAATTTTAGTTCTCAATGAGAACTTACCTCAAGAGATTCGTTAACGTGACCAATTTTTGGACTTTTCTGATTTTCTTCAATTGATTTGTTAAGTGCAGATTGATCACCAAAGAATTGCGCACAGGAATTCATTTCACTATCGACTAAAATTAAATTAAAATATTATCGAACATAGGCTACATTTGACTAACGAGGAAAGTGTTGTGATGGTATTCGTTATCTTGCCGTTTACATTATGTGTGCGTCATGTAGGCCTTGATAAATTATGAATATTGTCACAAAAAATGAATGTACTTGACCAGAAAAAACTGATTTACAAGTTAATCATTCAAATTACTATTCCTTTTATTCTTGACGATTACTCGTGCAATCATTTGAAAAGTACTATCAAAGTGCAATACTTTCACAGCCAGCAGTAAGCTAACAATAGGATATTTTTTCGCGTTTATTCCAAAATCATTCTGGTTTCACTTGTAAATAAACTCTCCATTCAAATATGACCCGAGAGAGAGATGGCGTTCCTCGTATATTAAAGCTAGTTTTTCATATGTAAAATAATCCTCAAAACACGGTTTTTCATACCTACTACTTCATCATCTTCATAACTTTCTTCCTTATCCTTATCCTTGCTTTTCAGATGAATATTTTGTGCTTCGACGAGACCATAATAAACTCCTTTCGCCTTCATCAATGTTTCATGATTTCCTAAAATCATTCATGATAATCGAAATAGTTATCTTTTTCTTCTACTTCTTCGTTGTACATTTACCTTCTTCAACAACTGATCCTGCATTGAGAACAATAATTTTCGATGCATTTACAATCGTCGATAATCGAT